AAATTAAATTATCAATTATCAATCGTGAATACCTTAATAAATCACGAGGAGGAGGAAGAGGGAAAGAGAAATGTTAGCATTGAAACCCGTTGTCCGATGCCCGATGCAAAACCTTCGTGTTTCATGAATATGTTTTGCGAGCGTCTCTGTTGCGGTTGGCAAACCTTTCCCATCGATTTGCAATTCTGTTATGGTAGGTGTCTGCGGATATTGTCTCCCGAGGTGGTGCATGTCTCGTGTTTACGTGTTGCGGATGAGCGTGTCGCCGATGTAGTGGAGGGGAGGGTGGTTTTTTGGTACACGACGAATACAAGGGAGGGGGGAGATGTATACGGATGGAGATATATCGCGATGCCCAGCGTTATATAGCTGGTATAACCGTGAACAGGTATGCGGTAAACTGTGATTTCGAGTGTGTGTACTGCACTGGGGTGTGGCTGGAAACGGTGGTCGAATAAAATAAAGTGTAGAAATATGGAGAGTTTGGGGGGGAGAGCGACTTCCAACGAAAGAGGAAATAAAGTTTCTCGTACTGTTGGCGCAGCATTTTTTCTCTGAAAATGTTTGAATATATTATTTTTTCTCCCTGAACACGTTCGTATACAGAAAAACTGGAATTATGTGATATATTTCGTTATTTGTAAATATATATTATTATTATTTTCTAATTTTGTTCGTATTTTCGTGAGTGGATTTAATTTCTATGAATAGATTTCCCGATGATTCCTGAGAAATTATCGTAGAATTGTATATGATTCGCGAATTGCGAATGTATAGTAGTAAAAATAGTATAAAGAAATATGGTTTGAAAGAAAGGAAAGAAAGGAATGCGCAACGAAAGAGGAAAATAAAGTTTTTCTTGGCAACTTTTTTTCTTTTCTTCGAATGACGAATATTATTTTTCGCATTACTCATAATTTTATACATTACTTGTAATTTTGTTTGTATCCATAACTGAAGATTTAATTGGGTTAAATAGGATAAAAATTCCGTGATCCCTGAAATTATTGCATAAAATTGTCAAGGCGAGTCAACGAAACAAATTCCTTTCGTTCAAGAAACAAAAAGATATCTGACGAGACGAGATAAAAGATTAAGGGGACTAAAAGAGGAGACTACAAAGATTCTGTTCACTGAAAAAGAAAAAGTAAAAAAAAAAGAAAGGAAGAATGGTCAAAGTGGTCGCGATCTGAAGAGACCGCCGGTAAAAACGAACTGCCTTAATTTAAAGTTGCGTACGGGATTTCAGACTTTTACTTTCACGAGTTTCTTGCCTCGCGAAGGAAAAGGGAGAGGGGAGGTAGGGGATGGGGGTGGATTGTCCCCATTTCTGAGAACTCGTTACGTTTTCGTCGCAGGGAATTACGGCACTTTGACTAAAACCAGTTAAAGTCTCGTCGTGGAGAGTTGCGACTAAACGGGCCTTGATCCTCGTAATCTCGTCGAGGCGAACGCATCTTCTTGTAGTAGTTTCATAATTTCATTGATAAATGTCTTCGCCGTTTAACGGGCGAGATCCCGCCCGAGTAAAATCGCCAGACACTTTCTTCGATGAAAATTCGAAAGATAACGCGTCACTCCGTCCCCAGAGTTTCGTTCTTCCCTTATATAAATAAGGCCGAAATTACACTTATCTGTTGTATCTCTTTATTTCTTTAACTGGAAAACGATAGAAAATTTTTTACACACATACATATATATAATAACGAAACGAAAGTTTTATTATATATATATATAGTTATTATTACTATATATATATAGTTTATTATTATATATATAAAGGAAAATATTGGTTGGAAAATTAGCTCAAGAATCTCCAGTTAACCGATATTTTTTATAATACATTATATATATCATAAGCAAAAGTGTTTACATTTTCTGGTGTAATTCGAAGTTTTAGAAAGGAAGTATGCATATATTTTTCGTGGAAGATGTTCAAATATTTGTAAAAAAAAAAATAAATAGAACGGGGAAAACGATCGGGGAAGAAAGGAAAGTTTAATGAAACCGAACGGAACGGGCAGAAGATGCGAACGGTGGCGCCACTGAAATGAAGCGGAAACGGTGGAACGTTGACACGCGGGCGGGAAAGAAATGCATATTCCGAATGGAGTTCTCGGGTAACACTCGTCGATACACAATGGGCCATCAGTTACAATGACTTGGAACGAGTCCCAATATTATCTTCCATTATGACGCGCATCGAGTTTCTTCCGGACAATAAAATCTCTTTTTGAATCTACGGCAGAACACGGTTGCAAAGTGGAGCGCGGTATAACGAATCGTTTCGATTTGTCAGACTCTCCCTTTTACGGTTTTTTTCCTTTTTTTTTTTTTTTTTTTTTCCTCTCACCACGATGAATGAAAAACTAGATACTAGATCACGATTCGTTGGAGAAATTTCATCGTCAAACAATTTCTCGTTTTCTCTTGTATTTATTTTTCAGATTGTTTTACGATTTATATATTTATTCATTTCGGCTAATTTGAGACGACACTCGATTAGAACTGGTTATCTTTCCTTTGGCGATAATAAAACGATATCAAAATTCAACAAAATATTTCAACGCGCCTCGCGAAACTTTCTTTCTGATATTTCGTATAAAAATTACGGTGCACGCTACTCTCACCCTGGGAAAATAGAGTAGCATAGAAAATGGCAACGTGGCGAACTCGGGCTATTGTATTTCAGGGGAGAACTTTGCGCGTACGTGTGCCATCATCGCGAATATAAAATTGTGTAACCAATAAAAGCGCTACTGGAAAAGAGATAGATAGAAAACTGAACTATTTTTCTCAAATCGAATTAATCAATTGCAAATAAAAAAAAGGGAAAGAGGAAGAGGAAGAGAATTCAATTACAAAAAAGGAAGAGAATTCTAACCTATTCTAAGATTCACAAGCCGAGGGCTATCGAACGTTCGATCATTCTTCCATCTTGTGGAAGAAAATCGAAATACTCTTTTTTCTCTCTCCCCACGCTTGCTCGCGTGGCGTCCACTTTAATTAACCGATCTCCTCGAATTCCTGTGAAACGTTACTCGCCAACGTTGCAAGAATTCTCAGGTAGGGCGTCGGTATCCCTTCTTTCCCCGGTCGGCGGACATTCGGACGGCGACAACAAAATTACACGAGGAAAATTCTCCAGGAAGCTTTTCAACTTTCTCGTGGAAAACTCGTGGAAAAGAAAGGAGGAGGAAACTCGAGGAAGCGTTGAACGCAATTAGGGCGTACGGGCGAAAATAGAAATTTCCAAAGGGACGTCTTACTCTCCGGCGAGAAACCACCCTCCTTCCTCCTCCTCTCTACTTTACCGACCGGTCGGTCCACTTTACTACTAGGACGGATTTAATGAATGAACAAGCGACGAAAGAGGGGGAGGAAAGGAGAAAGAAAAAGAAAGAGAGAGAAAGAGAAAAAAAGAAACTTCAAAGGGCAAGAACGGCCGCGTAACAGGAGTTAGAGAAGAAGGTCTGGGAACAGTGGAAAAGAGCGGAAGTAAAGTAGCGACAAAACCTCAATCCCTTTAATGGAGACAAATCCCCCTCTGCTGCGGCCTTCTGCGAAAGAGCATGGGAGGCGGACAATTTGTAAGAGTATATCCTACCTAGCCTTATATTAGTACCCAACGCCGGGGTGGTGGCCTCCACCACCGGCCAATCATCCTCAGACTACTCTCTCCTCCCTCTCCCTCCCTCCAACCTTTTCTCCAGAGAGTTTCCTCTCCCTCCGCCCGTGAAATCGGGCAGGGGTGCACACACGCGTTGGTGAAATTATAAAATTAACGAGCGGCATCCATCAGCCGACATAATGCCGAGCATTAAGCCCCGCGAAACGAACTTTTTGCCTGGCCACTCAATCTTGGTTAAATCTCTCTCTCTCTCTCTTTCCTTCCTTCTCTTCTCGTCCAAGAGTGTCCCTCTCGCTCAGCGTTATCGCGCAACGTCTCTCTCACTCACTCGCAACGTCTGTCTCACTCGCTCACTCGCAATATCTGTCTCTCTCACTCGCTCACTCGCAACGTCTGTCTCTCTCTCACTCGCTCACTCGCAACGTCTGTCTCTCTCTCACTCGCTCACTCGCAATATCTGTTTCTCTCTAACTCGCTCACTCGCAACGTTTGTCTCTCTCTCACTCGCTCACTCGCAATATCTGTCTCTCTTACTCGCTCACTCGCAACGTCTGTCTCGTTTCGTTAATGTAACCGGGATGGATGGATGGATGGATGGAACGTGCGATACGTGAGCGTATGCGCGTTTTTTCTCGATGTACGCTCGAGGTTTCGTTAGTTTGAACTTTTTTTGAACTGATGGTGGGCTTGGTTTTGACGTTCTCGCGTAAGCAGCGAAGCCGGCTACTTTCGGAATGCAATTTATCACCATCCTTATCCCTATGTGGCCGCATAGAAAATTCTTAACCGGGATGGATCCTTCGCTCATTGAGTTAACTTTTCTTTGAGGAAGATATCGCGGATGATCGTGGTAATTCTTGATTATTTGATCGTTTTCGAAGGTTATTTTTATAATTCGAGATTGGCGAGATTATTATTGACTTTGAGGGAAGAGTGTTGTTCGTAAGGAGGGATGCGATTATTGGAATGTAATTTATTTGAGATTCTCATAAAAAGGTTATAAACAAGTAAACGTTATTTTTCTAGATAGGCATCTGATATAACTTGAAAATATATTACTTGTTTTGTCTCATCTTGGAATTACTAATTTAAATTTTCTAATTTTTACATTCTCTCGTTTTAAATGTCGTTTAAAAATTTTATACGAATTTTCGGTTCGATTGGAACGATCTATAAATTTTCGTACTAGTTTATCAACTAATTATGATAACATCGTGCCTCGCGCTGTTATTATCGATGATACGCCGAAGGCAACATAGTTTGAGATTGTTTTTGCTTGGAAAATCGATGAGGCAAAGTGACACGTCGATCTTTCGGATATGAATCCTTCCAAACTCGATCGATCAGCATCGATTATTACGTTACGTTATCAACTTGTGTAAGTTTGTCCGGGAAACATCGTGTAATTAATGTAGAGATTGGCGAGATACATTATGAGTAAGTAAATGAGAATTATTTTTTCTTTTTTTTTCCTTAAAAGAATCGAAAACGAAACGAAAATCCTCTTCCTATCGAATTCAAAATTTTTGCTATTCTTTATTGTTCCGTTCAAATTTAAACAATTTTACCTCGAAATTGTAAGAAATTCTCGATCGTGTAAATTGAGAATTGGTTGGCAGTTTTCTCAGTGGCGAACCTTTGATCTTCATTACCATCCGTTACGTTCGAGGCACGAACTCGATAGATTTCTTCAGAAGTTCCATCGACGTCAAGAAGATCGTGATAAATTGCGATCGAAAAGTGCTCCTAAGAAATAAATCGACTGGATCGCGTAAAAACTTGGATAATCGCGGGGGAAGTAGTTTTTGTTGACTTTCCTACTACGCAGAGCCAAGACGTTAGAAATCTCGTTTGTTTTAGTTACACGACCTTTTCCAAAGCGTTTCGGATAACGTCTCGAAGATTAAACTATTTCTTTTTTTTTTTCGAGAGAGAGAGAATGAAAGAGAATTATAGAATTAAGATAGAAATTAAGATAGAAAAGAGATTACAAATTTTTCCTTCTTTCGAAATATTCAAAATTTTTAACTCTAAAATCTTCTAAAAACCTATATATATATTCTTTAAAAAAAAAAAAAAACAAGAAGCGTAACAATTACAGTAATCCTAATTCGCGTCAAGATTCAAAGAAATTTCGAAAAAAAGAAGAAAAAGAGGAAAAATTGAGGTATCCGTTCTCCGTTTCCCTTCTAATCAAAATCACAGGTAATACGAGAAAATTACTCTCAATTAACGAAACTTTGAACCCGTTGATCAAAGAAGAATCAGCACCAAGGGCCGCGCCAACCCATCCCCGTGAAATCACTCCCTCTCTCTCTCTTTCTCTCTCTCAACGACAAACGAACAAAAGAAGCGGAAAAGCGGAGAAGAAAGAAGGGGAAAGGAAAAAAAAAAGACTTATAAAAATTCTCTAGGAGGAGGCTACCTGCTATCGTCGAATCTCCCTGAGAGAAATTTAATTTCCCTGTCCTGTCTTGTCCTGTCGTCCTGATCTTCGCTCGACACTCGACCGCGAATCACTATGACAGAATGTTTTCATATAATATCAAAAGCTCGTGAACGCGCGCGCGCGCGCGCCACCCTTGCGGACCACTCAATCATCCCTCTTAATCCGGGTGGCTAAGGTCTAAAGGACTAAAGGTAATCAAGATAAACTACTCTCCCCGGGGGGAATTCGAAGTTGCAGCTGCTTCGAAGGAGACATCGAAGTAATTAATTCGTATCTTTCGGCCCGTCCTCCCTCCCCTTTTCTCGTGTTCTTCTTCCTGTTCTTCTTCTTGTCACGAGGCGGGTGAAATAAAGTAACGAAAAGAAGAAAAGTTATATCTTTCTTTCCTCCAGGAAACTAAAGCTTATGAAATAGACGTTTCAATTAGCGCTGTTCGGCTATTCGAATACCAGGGGATTAGAATCGGCTCCACTACTCAAGTTCAGCGTAAATTACTCTGATGAAATTAAAAGCGTCCCTCCTTCTTTCGTTTCTCTTCTTTCGCTTATTGGCTCTCGTTTCTTTGGCTATTTTACCTCCTATTAAAATACGATCTCGTTGTCTCTCGGGGGAGGAGGGAGCAAGCCCCTCTTCCCTCCCTCAATTGCCAGAGGCTGGTCAAGGTATATTATTGTAATCTTCAGCTTTGATCTCTCTTTTCTTTCTTTCTTTCTTTCTTTCTTTCTTACTTTTTCGTTATTATTATTGTTATTATTATTATTATTATTATTATGGTTTTCCTCAAAGTTAACGGAACGAAAGTACACTCGTTCGAGAGTTGAAGGGAAGGGGTTTTTTTGAGGGGGAGGGGAGGAATCGAGGAGAGGATGTGGGCACGTAAATTGTAGAGTTCTGTGACGTTAATGTGGTCGGTGTGTACGTGGTGCATGTAAAGTATGAATAATGTATAGGAAACGTTTTATGCGGTATATGTATATATATATATATAGAGAGAGAGAGAGAGAAAAATGAGGCAAATTTTGGTTGTAAAATTTGCATTAAATGTTAATGCGTTCGCAATTTGAACAAAGTTTATGGAGTTTTAATTTCGTGTTATTCGGTACAAAAATTGCAGTAGGAATATCGTATCGCTTTTCAAAATAAAACTTGGCCCTCTCTTATCCTCTCCCCACTAATTCCATTTTTGGAACTATAGAAATAGAAAGTTTCTATCCAGATTCCATTTGATTTCGAATTACACGGGGTTGAAACGTTTGTCGGGTAAAACAATCTGTCGATAAAATAAAGCAAAACGGGTACGGATACTTTGTCGGGCTAGCGTTAGAATCGCTTTCAAAGTAAATCCTCCGTTTAATAGAGGATGCTACTTCCGTCGCCTGGAAACGTGAAAATTCAATGTATAAACACGCGTAAGGAACAAAGGGGTTAAAACGGTTACTCCCCTTTCGTTACATCAGAAACGTTCGTTTCAATTATCTCTCGAGAGGATGTAACACCCTCTCACGGGGGCCCTCCTCGCCCTCATAAATATTTATACGTAATTCCTTGGCAATTTATCGTATATTTATACAAAGTCACGGGACCGAGGAACGGTTGAGAGGAGAAGAGAAGAGGAGAAGAGAAGAGAAGAGGAGAGGAGAGGAGAGGCGTCGAAGCGGGATGGAGCCGGCGAGAAGTTAAGCGCTTTATGTTCGAGCCAGGTTAATAGGGATTCTCGCTTAGCAATGTCGACAGCGTAGGCGAACGACGCTTTGCCGATTTGTCCCGTGTAGAAGTTGGCGTGGTGGTGGTGTTGCACCCTCTTCCGTTTGAAGCGGTCATCGGTGCATAGAAAGCGCGGAAAAATTCTGTTTTCGCTAACGCCACTTCTTGTTTGCGTTCCTCGTGCACGATGCAGGGGAAGGATTTTTTATTTTTTTCCATTTTTTTCCCCTCCACCCTGTTTCAGATCCCTTTCTCTCTCTCTCCTCCCTTTCTCTTCTTTTTTTATTTCTGCTCGAGTTCTAAAGGGTACTTTTTAATTCCGATTTTTTTGTCCGTATTTGTTGTTTATGCGAAAGTTATGCGAAAAACAGGAAAAAGTGATATACGCGTAACCGTGTGGTTCGGATCGCTTGCAAGCATTTTCAAATTCCCAGCGAGATATTTGTATTTCATGAAATTAAAGTTGGTAAAATAATTGTCATTATTCGAAATGAAATATGAATTCCTTTTTATCCATGCTGCTATGTTAAGCTCGTTGCATTCGTATTTTTTATATTGTTATAAAGCAGATCATGGAAAAAGAAACATGTTCGTGTAACGTTTCACATAAAAATTATTAGAATATCATAAATGTATTTTCATTCTATAATAATGTATAAAAATATCCCAATGTAATACAATTATCTAATATATATGCTATATATATGCCCATTCAGACATTCTGTTAAAAAATATTTCTGCAAAAATTTCTGAATAGAAGCAGAAGTGATCTCGCGAAATACCACATTCTCTCTAGATAAAGGAACGCCGGTATAAAAATCCGGTGTACGCGATCGGTGTACAGGAGCGGACAACATTTCCCGTATGTGGAACGACGTACACATATCCCTTTTGATTGTACGGGGTCCGAGGAGAACGCGACGCGCCGCAAGAATTCGCGTTACGTTGCGAAGAAATCCCAAGAAGGATTAAAGAGTTGGGGGAGGAGGAAGAATGGAACGCTAAACGGCTTCTGGACGAGGCAGGCATTCCCTTAGCTAAGGCTATCCCGCGGGAATATTTATATTCTCGCCACTTACCCGCTGTAAATCCCTGGCCGGCAATTAAGGTTGGCCGGCAAACGGGTCTCGTTTCGTCTAGTCTCGTCTGCCGGGCGTCCAGTTTGCAGCCTTGTAACTCTCGACGGTCGTTAACGTGGACTATCATTGCACACACGGTGCCGGTTACCGTGCATGATGTGTTCGTCTTTCTCCATCTTGTTCATCCTTGTACGATGCTTGTCCGCGTGGCCCCACTCGTTAGTCCCTCTCATCGCCGCAAAATGTTACCGCATTATCCTTTCGCATCCGTGTAGCACGTAGCCTCACATTTGTAATTTTAGATTCGAAACGGGCTTCAACTGAAACGAGTTTTAAATAGAAGGGTTGTTGGTGACTTTTAGATGGTGAAGAATGGCTTGCACAAGTGTTACGAATTCTAGGATTATTTGGATTGTAATGTAACTCATATGGTTTAGTGATAAAGTTATTTTTTTATTTGTTATTTGAACCTTTTCTAATATTCTCGTGAACTATGAATAGAGTTGCTATGTTTTAGGAAAATTAATCTCTCCGCAAAGAATTGATTTCAATATTAAAAAATTATACGATTTATAGGTTATGCATCTCTCGATATTAATATAAAGAAATAAAACGAAATTGTAAAGTAAAATATTAATAAGATACTAAAAATTAATTATAATTGATCGGTAAAGATCGATTGGCAAAGTTACTTAATTATTTTAATATCCTATTGCGCAGTTCTCCGAGTATGAATATAAAGTTATTTGTGCGTCAAATATTCCATTCAATTTCGTACTTATTGCACAAACATTTTCAATCATCGATGATTACTACTATCTTTATAACACAACATAAAATAAAACAATCTATTTATAACTATATCGTTATATTATAACTAAATATCCCGTTACATTCCGTACATCATTAGACGGATATTCGTCTCGCTATTTTTAAACGCCATTACACGATACACTACGCCGTATATACGATATACCGTGCATATTTACGTGCGAATATCACGCGCGTTCACTAGTGTTCCAACATAACGAATAGTTACCTCGATAATCTGGCTTCGTTCTAACTCGTTAACCTTCGTCGTTTTGCGTGAAATGTTTATACAAGGCATATAGCATCGGTGAAGGCAGGATACGTATAAACACTGTTACGTAGCACTGACGTAAGATTTGTCACGTATACTACGACAACGACGACGACGACGACGACGACAAGTTTCGAGAAAGTTTTGTCCCGCGGTTTATGGCCTCTTGTAATTTGCCGTGAATCTCGCGTCTTCATACCGTCACACTCGGGTCAACTGCACTCCCTCGTTAACTCGCCACGTGCTTGTAAAATCTCGTCGAATTACTGTACCGCATGGCCGTGCGCGTTTCGTCACGCCAAACTCGCCAGCTGCGTCGAAAATAAATCATACCGCCACGATGCCGCGACGCTAGCGACATACCTGATGCTTCGTGTGGCATCATGGCGGAAAAAAAGCAGTAACGAATTTCACGTGACGAGTAAATGAAATCGAGCGACAAATCATTCGCGTTAGAGTTGACGTTATTTTAAACTAGCTGTTTTAACTTCACTTTGATACTCACTTGTTATTTTTATTCTTTCGTCCGTGTTACTTGTTACGAACAAGTGTGTGAAACGTGTGATATAATGTGTCTGCGAGATGATTGCGTGAGTGATGATTATTTGGCTGAAAATTTGGCGAGAATGTAACAGTACGTGTTTTCTTCTGTATTTGAGAAATTCAAGTTTGAATATTGACTCAGGTATTTACTTAATTAAAGTTTGAATGATATTTTGAATGATTTTTGTATATGATGAATATACGATATTATTCCTTTAGCGAGTTAGGTTAAGATATATAATTACTTCATTTACAATGCTACAGTTGGACGATTTCTCTTCTTTTCTTTTTTGAAAATGAGATATTGTTTGTTCGACACGAACTACGATCGTCCAATTACCATAATATTCAATGTAATTAAAACGTGTTAAACGATACGTAAACTCGGAGAAACTTTACTCTTAGTACTTAATATTTTATTACGTTATACTCGAACGAATATATTTGCATGAAGCTAGAACAGTTTCTATTTGTATAGAATTAATTTAATTCTTATGTTTTCTGAATCTCTTAGATAAGAAAAATTCTTTCTACATACTTTTAATACGTCTGATATATCATCGACAATTTTTATTTAATCTTATCATTTTCACTTGTTACGCATAATCTCGACATTAAATTTTTCGATCGTATATACGCATATCTCGACGATAATTCGTATATTAAACAGGTTGTCCACTTTATTCGTAATTATTTCGTTCAAGAAAAAGATTAATGTAACTGAATATTAATACCAATATTGAATGCAACCGGGAATCGGGAAAATAATTCATATTCCAGGCATTCGCGTTTATCATCGCAATTCTGAAGGATTGAACACGGCTGAGCGATGGCTAAGGGGGGCTGAGAGGGTGGTTAAGGGTGGTTGAAATCAAAGCGGCACACAGTCGCGCCTGTTAAGCGCGAATCAGAAGTCAGGAGTTAACGTAATACCCTGTAACGATCACTGGCATCAGATGTACCGAACGACGGTAAATGAAACGCGAAACGATAAATCATACACGCCGTCGCATACCGCGGTTATGTTTTTCGATCTCCATGCAGATGGCTTGTAAACGTTCCATTAATCGAGATTGCGCCGTTCTAATAACGACCACGATCCATACACCCGGTATGCATGATGAAAATCGAAATCGCTTTATTGGCCGCAATCAGAGCGATACGGTTCAAAAGGGGAAATACTTGCTTCCTTTTCGTTTCGATTCGCCTAGATTCGTGATTCATCGATGCCGACCATTGTTGAGAAGGTAATCGTTGCAACGTTTGTTACGATGTTCAATTCGTTCGGTTCATCGGTATCGAGGAACAAACAAATTTTTTTTTGTTTTCAAAGAAGGTAGAACGAAGAATTTCTTTTCGAAAATCGAAGAAAGAATCCATCCAAAAATTCGAGAATTATTCTGATTTAAAATTCCACGGTCCAGAAATAATTCGTGCTCTATTCCTTCGTAAACGTTTTCTGAATTAACAAAGGGACGAAGTGCACGCGAATTAATACGGAAGAATGCAGTTACGATTTTTAGTAACCCGGTAATTAAACGAGTGTTCTACTCAAAGGAGTTGGGTTACCCGGAGCAACCTTAAGGGTTGTTAACTTCAACCTCGTGGATGGAAGGAGAAGGGGAAGCAAGACGGACGAGAGAAGGGCTTGTGAAGAATAGATTTGAGGGTCGGTGAAAATGGGATGGAGGATGTTCGTCTGGTTTTTAAAGTGTACTTTCTTCCCCTTCTTGTTTGTTCCCACTCTTGTTTTACCACCACTTTTATTTCTCTGGATACGTTCTTCACCTCTCGATCGTTGAAAGCAGATTCTTGGTTAAAATAGTCTATTGAATCTCTTTCTACATTGTTTTTATTTTTTTTTTTTTTTTTTTTTTACAAGATTTATCTCTTTTACATTATTCGTAAATTATATACGAAAAGGAATATTAATAGAAATATCGTACGTATTATTGTACGAATATTTCGAGATTATTTGTCTCGTTCTTCACGAATCATTGTAATCTTGTATGTTTCTGGAACATCTCCAGCTCTCGCGTTCCCTAATTTTTGAATTTTTTGAACCGTATTTTTATTTAGCAGGATTATTTATACAATCAGTTTAGAATTCTGTATTGTTGCAGCGTGTATCGCGAGGCTTTGTTCCAAGTTTGAACTCATAAAGCAAACATGCACAAATAACAATGTTAGCAACAGACATTTTCCAGCGAGTTTTTTTTTTTTTTTTTTTTAACCGAAATGATAAGCCGAGTACAAACTTTCGTAAAATAAAAGGTAATAAAAACAAGCGAAATAGCAAAAGCAATAAAAAGTGATAAAATATTTGGACGCTGAGTGGTAAAATGACCGCATGAAAAAAACCTCGCGAACTTTCTCGACCACGTACCGATAGGAAACGTACTGCTATTTATTTTCAAACTTGATACAAATAAATACGTTGGTCGTTCAAATTAATCCTCAAAAATTCTCTTCAAGTCTAATAATCTTCACACAAAAATTAAAACAATATAATATATAAAGAAAAAGAATCCCTCTTATTTCGACATTTGAAAAATTTTAGAAAGAAAAATTAAAATTCGTCTTTATCCTTCGTTCGAGAAGAAACAAAAAAAAACACCATAAATAAGATTTCCAAACGCGGATCGATTAAATTTAAAATCTCGTTAAACCCAGACTTTTCGTGGATTAGAGCGGCCGAATAATCGGGCTCGCGTTACATAAATAAGAAGGGGAGGCGGTTATAGCGGCGGAAATGAAGAAATAGAACGGGGCGAGAAGAATGGTGGAGGGTGTCGAGGGGTGAGGAGGGATGGAAACAAGAAGCGCGGAGGAGGGTGTCGAAATACCCCGGCGTTGGAAAATTCCATGC